CTGTAAAATAAAATAAAAAAGCTTCAATTAGAAATGTAAAATCCTTTTTAATCAGTTAACAAGTTAAATGTTACATTTAACTGGCTAACTGATTAAGTGGTCCCCTGCCTGTGGCCTGGTGGGCCCAGTCTGGCGGGAACAGCCCCCAGCCTGTGGGAGTGCTAGTTGCCAACCTTTGGCCCCGACCCATGGCACAGTGGGGGCTCAGCTGGGTTGGAGCTGCTCTCTCCTTTGCATGTTGTGGGCAGGGTTCTGCTCCCAGGTATCAGTTAATCAGTTACCCGTTCACATCCTTAGCTTCAATGAGACTACTCCTGCAAAATTAAATCTGTGAATAAGTCTTTATAAGGATTGGGGCCATAGGTGAAGCCATAAATAGGTAATACAAAAATTGGTTCAGGAAAGGGAGGGGCATGATAGCAGGGACAGTTATACTCATGAATGACCACCAAGGGGCAGCATGAACCTAGGGAGCAATTTCTGCCTGACAGCATGGCCCTGGCAACCCTGGGCTGTGCATGGCCGCCCTTCCCCCAAGCAACCTGTGCAGATCTCCCTCCCCCTTGCCCCTGGGACAGCCCTGGGGAGTGCTGGCAGGTGGCTGGCATGCCCACCCACCCCAAGGCAGCCTGCATAGCCCTCCAACTCCAGACTACCCACACTATAAGGTCTTCCCTGACCTTAGGCCATGCCCAGAGAGCACTGGCGGGGTGGGGGGACCTCTCCCCCCTGCCCCCAGGGAGAGGCCAGAGGGTGGGGTGCACAACCCCTCAGTGCCAGTTTCAGGGAGAAGCCAGAGGGTTGAATGTGTGATCCCTGCCCTGCCCTGGACAATGCCAGGTAAGTCTTCTAGTGTCTAAATATTTTGATATCCAAAATGTCTGTTGGGAAATCTTGACAAACATATATAGCATCTTAATTCATAAATAGAGGTATTTAAAATGTGGATGCAGATTTTCCAGTGAGCCCATTGCTATCTTGTAAGATCTATGGAGCTTGCATGCTAGTTTTATTTAATCCTAGCTAGGAGAAGAAACTTTGGATGAAATAGTATAGTTTCTTCCCTACGAATGTGTGCAATTCTCATGACTACAAAATAGACAAGTGTAGTCAAGGTTTATAAAGTGCAGTTTTTACATCAGAAAAATAAAGTACTGTCCGATCATGGGGACATTTTAATCTTCTGAAGCTCTCAGCAAAGCATCTGTGTAGTTCTGCTGAAAACACAAAGAGTTCTGCAAATAGTCCCACAAACCCCAGCAGGATCCTCCAGTATGGGGGACAGCATTTTAGCAGATAACTCTACAGCCACTTCCCAACTTACAAACACACCCACTACGACCATCCGTATTTACGACCAACCTCCCATAATATTTTCTAGTTGAGAACCATGTACGTCAAGTTTTTCAAACAGTGCAGGTAGCGCGTTTAAGGGTATTTCCGACTTATGACCAAATTGAGTTACAACCAGGTGATCGGAAACGTAACCCGTTCGTAAGTCAGGGACTGCCTGTATATAAACATAATTATGCAATACTGGCAGTCCCCGGGTTACGTACAAGATAGGGACTGTAGGTTTGTTCTTAAGTTGAATCTGTATGTAAGTCGGAACTGGCGTCCAGATTCAGCCGCTGCTGAAACTGACCGCCAGTTCTGACTTACATACAGATTCAACTTAATAACCCCAAGTCAGCTGCTGCTGAAACTGATCAGACGCTGATTCCAGGAAGCCCGGGGCAGAGCAACTGTGCCTCGGGCTTCCTGTAGTCAGTGCTGGTCAGGTTCA